TTCATTTATTGAACAAACATGGCAAAACTAGTAAATAGGGAAATATTCTTTGATTAAAGAAATTACAGGCATCCTGTTTCTATTGCAAATCATGCAACACCTTTGTGTAAATTTAAGGTGCTGTGGGGAGAATTTTGAGGTACAATCCTTAATGTTGTTATGGATGAATCTCAGTGAGTTTTGAAAAAGTCCTCTGTCAAAGAAGGTATCCCAAACCCAGCACTGAAAATTAATTTTTTTTTTAATATTCAAATCTAAGCAGAAATGTTAAATGTAGAAACACTTGTAAACTAGAAAATTAATTGCAAGAGGGTTTTTTTTTGAAATAGTGTTGAATTACTGTTTGCTTGTCCTTACTCTTGCACAGTTAAAAAAAGTAATACTTTTAAAGTAGATTGTTGATATAAAATACACCATATTTTCCTGGAAAGATCTGAGATGTTCCTTTCTAGTAGGCTTGGTTGGATCAAGAGTTTAAATGATCCAGAGAGTTTAAATGGTCCAGAGAGTTAATTATAACACTATTTGGTTCTAGCCTGTATTTCTTTTAATCAGGAAAAAGTACTAGTAGTTAGCAGCAGGTCTCTTTGGAAAATGGTGTATTTCTCCATGTATTTCACATTCTCTTTATCTGTAGTGTCATGTTATTTTAAGTTGCAGCATATGTAGGCCAACAAAAACTGACATAAAGGAAAGCAGCATAATACAGTGTAATGATATGTGACACATCCAGAATGAGGAGGAAACTTGCTTTCTTGGAACTAGTACCTATTGCTTACTGTGTTTGCCATTAACATACTCTCCTCCATGCAACACTCTCCCCTATGCAATCAAGGTACTCTTTACCTATGTCAGAAAATACCAGCTTGTCTTGAAAAAAACCCCAGTAAAATCATCAGTTATTTTTTTGAGATGTTGATTCATAATTCAATCCTGATATTGCTTTCCCGATTCACAAACTATTCTTATGCAGAAACAAGGAATTAATCTTGATATTTTTCCCTTACATTTTAGTTAATAGGTTAATATTTAACGTCATTCATATTCGTGAAAGGTCAAGCTATGTGCTCTTATTCATGTGAACCTTATGGACAGCTTAAAAGAGAAGTATAAGTCAATAAAAAGTAGACTTAAAAACGTGAGTAAATAAAATAAGCCAAATATCACTTCTAGGAAGGAACCAAGATAAGCTAATCAAGCTCTTTAACATGCTCTGAGTTTTGAACATGTATTTCACAGTAGATTGCATGGCATCCTGGCACAGGTGTCCCCCACAGTGAGCTGGATTTGAGTGCAAAAATGGGTGATAACTATCCTTTTGTTGTGTTAATTTTAACGTAGGTCAGTCCTCTGCTTGCACTCATTGCATGGCTGCCAAATACTTCCTTCTGTCGTAGAAGCAGCGACGGCACAAAAGGTGAAAAGTGAGAGAGAAACGACCCAGAATCACTTTTTTTGGCAGCAAGAGTAGCAAAGTGAGTGTGAAATTCTCATAGAGGAAGAATTTGTTATTTAAAGAAATAGAAACTTCCCTCATTATTCATGCAGTCAAGTCTGAAAAATATACGAGAAATCTAAGTGAATGTATTTTGTTGGAATTAAAATGGAGATGGAACTATGAAGCAGGACATAAAAATTTCATAATATATTGTCTATACAAGTTGATAAACAGCAGGAGTTACTCTTATTGATTGGTGAAGAATATTTTCCTTAAGAAATAAAAGCACCCCACTGTTTATTGTATTCTTGCTATTGAAGGGATTTATTTTAAAGTAAAATATAAGTGGTCCTAAATTGAAAATAACAGCACTCATGGGAAAACTCTGAGAGAAGGCTCAAAAAAGAAATCATGCAACTGAAGCTAAAACCAGAACTTTTCTGTTAGTGTCCAGTACAAATCAAGATTGAAGAACCTAAATATTTTACTATTATTAAGTATTCTTAAGACACAAGCAAAAAAGTCTTCTCAGAACTCATAGGTAGGTTTCAGTTTTGGTATTTTGATTTCCACTTGAGCTCAGAAGTTTCACTGAATCTGTGGGATGCCCATTCAGAATTGGCTTTGGAAAATATGCCCGAGTGGTTGAATACTGTAGTAGTACCTGCCTTGTAAATGAAATTCCTTATGTTTATTCACTAATGAGTTATAGAACAGAAAAACATGGCTTCTCTTGTACTTGTGGGAAACTTCATGTTGTGACCATAGGGTTTTAATAGATTATTGATTTCCATTTGTTAAAGTGTTACCTGTCAAAATGTTTTAATAACTTCTGGTTTTGGTCTAACTTAGTCTAGTTAATATTATATGTTTCCTATTGAAAAATAGTGGAGGTGCTCATAGAACTTTAAACTAAAATTTTCATTATAAATAAAAACTATTTCCTATAAATAAAGATTCTGCCCAATTTCATCATGAAGACAGCAGACTGACCACTGCTTAAATTGGAGTAGCACCTGAGAAACTGCCCTGCATTCATTTCCCAGACTGAGCTAAAGAAAATAAAATTGATCATATTGCCACGGTACGAGCTCTGGATTTTGTAAGATTAGGCAGATGAGATGTCAATGTCTCAAATTCAAGATTGTGGTATTTAAGTTGTGGGTAGTTGTTTTTTTATTTGTGGCATTTTGCCATGTAAGCAAGAATCAAAAGAGTATTAAGAAGGCAAATTGACTTCATTAATGAACTAAAACAGTAAAATTTTCTCAGATTTCAAAACCATCAGGAAGGCCTTTTCTGTATGTGACGTGTCTTGATTTCAGAATATGTTGCTTTTAACTTCTTTTAATATAATAACATGGGAATGTGTGCCAAAATGTCACCTATGCTTAATTAAATATCACCTGAAGACAGGGATACAGAATTTTGTTTGTTCGTATTTACAAGAATTTCCATTTTGAGAGCTGTTGATCTTTATTCTTAAACTGATACATGTAATATTCAAATATTTTTGGGGTTTTTTTCACTTTAATGCATATAAAAAGGTCATTATCTACCGCTGACTTTGAAAACTTTGTGAAATACAAAGTTATCTACGTGCAGGGAACTCTTGTGCCATCGGGTACATCGACAGCCGCTCTTCCCACTGTTGCCTGATGTTTAGACTGTTGTGATTCTGCTGATGTAGCTGATGTTTTTTTTCTTCATTATTCCTCTGCCTTTGTCCTTTCCTACAGGCTTACCCTGAGTTTGTCCTGACCTACCTAGAGGAACTAAATGAAAGAGAGGAGGTGACCCAGACAGAAAACCGTATTCACCATGGGGCCTGGTCTGCAGCTCATCAGGAGATAGACAGCAGCTCAGCAGAAGAGGTCACAGTATTAAGCCAGAGGCAGGTCAGAGACAGTCCTTTCAAAAACACATTTTGAAAAGAGAAATATCAGTGTGGAAGTCAGCTTATTTCCTTAAAAAAAAACAACAATCCCTTTGTTTTCTTAATTTAATAAGATATTTATATATTGGGCAAGTAATAGTTATGTACAGGATTATAAATGAATAAAAAGCTGTGTTTATTTCTGCCTTAGAACAGTTTATGCTCACAGCGCATGCAGGACAAATTTTTGAAATTTCCTATGTGGAAAAAAAACTCAAGGAAGGAAGAGAAACAACAACAAAAAAAAAAACCCAACTCACAAGATCTCTAGATTTGTGCCTCTTGATGCATCTTGACATAGCTATTTGTATTTCTGACATTTTCTGCTAATCAACAGCCTCGCTTGAAAAAGTAGACACACATTATTTTAATTAGCAATATATAAATTACACGGTTGTACTTTCATCTCTTAGGTTCTGCAAAAAAACAATATGTCAGCAACCCCAATCAGAAACAACTTTCAGGACCTTTGGACGCCCATTTGATGCCTGCGGATCCCCTGGGGGAGACTCCACAGCTGACAGTGGCACTGGTGAGGAAACCAGAAGCGAAACATCCTAAGGCCCCAGCTCAAAGGTAAGCCACTGACAGAACTGATATTTATTGTTCAATGACATTAGATGTTTTCCTTCAGTTTCATGTAAGATTGATTTCCTGGATATTATTGAAATATCTCAGAAACCCTCTGGCTGATAAGCAAACAGGGATTTTGACCAAAATTAATGAAAAGGGGTGACATTTATGTGCTTCTTTTTTTTTTTTTTAATTTTTTTTTTTTTATTTTGAAGATTGATGTGGATGATGTTTGGTAGTAATTGTAAGTTTACTTCTGAATTTTTTCATCTACAAACCTCGCATCGTGCAAGTTACATAAAGAAATAGGACTTGGATCTACATTGTGACGTGTTTTGTGCCACAAGACTTAAATTTAAATGGTAAAGGTTTTGTTAGAAAGCTGAAAGTCATGCTGAGCCAAAATATTAAGTGAAAGTCACTTCCAATGTAGGACTGTATTTTAATTTCAGTAAAAGATAAAGGGTAGTGTTGTAATTGCTTCTACTTACAACAGGCAGAAGACTTTGCCTTTCTTTAGATAACTGAAACTATCTTATAGAAGTGGCATTTGGCTACTTATTTTTGAGGTTTGGGGTATTTTTAGATCCAAACATATTAAAAATGGACCTCTTACTCAGATGAAAGACCACAAGACATCACTTGCTATTAGGATTAAAGTTGAACTCATTAGTGTTGTTACTACTGGCAATAAGTTAATGACAGTGATTTGCTAGACTAGAGTTTCAGGTGTTTCCTTTATAATATTATTTCACAAATATTTAGTCTTTCAGGATCTGAAATATTCTCAAATGTGCCTGAAGACTATGACATGACTGAGGTACCTGAAGGTATTGGCTGTCAGCAGCTTTTGGGGAACTGCATAGTTGGGGTAGGTTACCTGTATTTTGGGTAGTTTTATTTTTTATTTGATGAAGTAAAATGTAAACTTGGGTTCTAATATTAATATTGGCTGTATTAGCTCTTTCAAGAGATGCCATCTGCAATGTGATGTGAGGATTTGTCCAGCATCACTTGCTCCACAGTGCTTTGAGTATGAATTGTTATGCTGTAAATGGGTAATGTGATGTCAGGGTCACTACAAAGTATTTAACTTCATTGAAGTATGACAGAATAAGTGAAATTTCAACTACTGTCTGTACTTCTAGCCTCAGATAACAGGATGTAAATATTAAGCTAAAAGTCTCTTCTTGCAGAATAAACACATTTGATTTAGAAAGCTGTCTGCAGTCAAGATCTTCCCACTGACAGTGGAGTTATGCAGTCTAAAGCATTTTCCTGAACTTGAATTAAATATAGAAAAATACATTTTAATACCCAAACAACATTATTTCACTGTCAGAAATATTTGGCATTGAATAGCAATTATAACTAATTCCAAACTGCAGTTACATCTGTTATGGGAGGTACTAAGTGATTTAAATTCTCTTTTGCTGCAATTTTTCACTAGACTGTGATAAGTACTAATGTAGTCTGCTAAACAGCTGCCACATCCCACTCTGTAGTTTGTAGAATCCTTTCAATGACTGAAAGGTGATGTAAGATTAGGGAGACAGGGTTTTATCTTCTGTGATGTGAAAAGCTGTTCCATTTCCAAGTAGCAACAAAACTTGCCTTCCTTTGCAAAACAACATGAAAAACTGTCATAAGCACAAATGAGGTATGAATTGTGTGTTAGAGGAAAATATACCTCTGTGTCCAAGAATTGTTTCAGTTGGTCCAGATATAGGAGATGATAAAGTGAAGATTATGATCACTGTTCCTTCCAAGTTCAACTGGATTTTATGACACTCTTTTGGTTAATGGCCCCACCCGACACATTCGTAGAATTTTGTAAAACTTTTTGGCTCGCTGAGAGGGAGGGAAGGAGATTTCAGCTGCCCAGACACGGGTGTTTGGGGTAATTTTTCGGTGTTAAGGGGTATATCACCAGGCTTCCAGCTGTTTTGGAATGCTGCAAGTCTCCTGCTCTGATCTGTTTGTGAGAGCTGTGCAGATGCTTTGGGTACATTGGCAGTGTCAAATACAGCCAGTGCCTCTTTTTTTAAGCTTTGAGTCATGATGGAATCACAGAATATTGGAGTTGGAAGGGACCCACAAGGATCATCAAGTCCAACTCTTAGGCCCATACAGGGATCAAAGCCACCCTAAACGTTTTGTTTTCCAGCTTAGTTTTGTAGGAATATGCATTTCAGAGACTTCATTCTTAGTGTTTTTCTGGTTTGGTTTCTGAGAAGCGCTCGCACTTTCACCAGAACAGAGTGAAGACAGCCCAAGAAAACCCTTTTCATAAGGCTCTTCCTATCACATCCTGTAGAATAAGGTTAAGTTTCAAAGCATATGGTTAATTAGATTGCAAGCTTGTCTGTTCATATAACTGTCATACTTTCAGACTTCCTTTCCTTACTTATTTTTGCAGTCAGCCCCTTTCTGACCTGCACATTGTTTAGCCAGTTGCACCTTATCCTATGGTATATGTTAGTAAAGACAACAATGAAGTGAGCTTGTTTGGTTTTGGGGATTTTTTTTGTGTGTCTTATCTTAGTGGTCTTGGCAAGTCCTTAGTATCTTTGAGGACATCTTGTTGAGTGTTGTTTCCAATGTTGTTTTCTAATGCATCTCATACTTTTAACAATTTGCATGATACATTATGCCTGTAAAACAGAAAAACTTGAACCTCATCTCTGATTTACCCGACTGAATCCCTGAGGTTTTATGTGACAGCTGAAAAATGTACCCGTTCCAGAAAATACCATTGAGGAAAAAATGACAAGTCTTGCCCCAAACAGACCAAAATCCAACCCAAGGTAGTTGCTGGACGTGGAGGATTCAAGCTGCTGAGAAGGTGTGGTGGCTTTTAGGATAAGGATGAGTAGAGAAGTGAGTGAGCTGTGTGACTGTGACGTGTATTTCCCTCAGTGCACAAGAACTAATGACTTAACTAAGTGACTAATGACCACTGATTTCCTTCTCATCCTTGTTCTCATTCTCACTGTTCATGTATGGGAAACAGCTAATCCATTGCCTCCTTTCACTCAAAAATAGTTTTGAATGGACACTTTTATAGAGAAATGACATATTATTACCTTTGCCTGGGTCAAGATAATCACTTAATGTTTCTGGTGTTACCCTGTGGAACTGTAAGCCCTGTAAATTCTGGCAGTGTTTTAAATTACTTCTCTCATTGTTATGATACTACAGGTTGGGCCCAGCTAGGAAAGTTCTCTTGAATCAACTGTAGCAGATTTGTGGTGTCCTGGCAACACATTCCATTTGTGAATTGTCCCTTTAAAGGGGCTGGTCACATATCTAAAATTAATCACCTGTTTTAATGCAGTTTTGGTTTCAGACCTTATTGGATCACTTTGTTGCCATAAGTAAGCTTGATTTCACAAGTTTCTGAATATTTGGTCTCCAATCCAGATATGCATTTAAGTAAGCTCCAAGTAAAGTACGTGCTAGGTACAAGCATTCTTGGATCTGAGTCAGGATGCTTATGACCTTGTCATATTTAATACTAAGACAGATGCAGCTGGGACACTTGGTTTCATTTTAATTTGTCTGAATCACTTGGACAAATTCAGTTGTCATATTTTTGTAAGACTTAATGGTGTAGGAAAAATGACTAAGGAATACCCCTATGGAAATGGAAATGTTCACCCACTTCTGTTGTTGGTTATGGCTAAGCAAACACTTGACCTTGATTCTTTTTACACTGTTCATTCATTTTAAATTCCACGTGGGCAAAACATAAGTGAAAGTCATAATATACATCTGTATTGTAATTGATTACTCCATGAAGACAGATGAGAGTATATTAGAAACACTAATTCATTACTGGATTATTGTAAAGATCTATTCATAGATTGCACATTCAAAAAAAAAAATAAAAACGGTGCTTTAGACTGTATTTTCTGCATTTTAAAAGTTCTTGTATTCATTTTAAGTACCCCCTCAGATTTCTATTTGTGGAAAGTCCTTTCTGGTAAAAACATCTTTTTCAATGAGTTGCAATGACTTTTCATGATATATCTGCCATGCAAGTGTTATAAAGGTTAAAGCTTTGAATTGTGACAAATTAGCTTTCACTATCTGCTTTAGTCACATCTTGACAAAATTATTCCAATAGCTGTGTCTGCTACAGACACAAATCCAGTCCTCTGCTCATCGCGGGGAGGAAATGCTACACATCCACCTGAAAACGAAAGGAAGGTACAATAAACATCCCATTCCCCTTTTCAGAAAGCGTTTGGAGATATTTGTTTGCATTAGTATGTACCAATTGGAGCAGGTTACCTTTATTTCACTGGCATAAGAACTGAGGGGCTGAGGGGGCGTGGGGGAGTTTGTGGCAGCCGACAAAGCACGGTGACCCAGCTTGTCACCCAGTGACCTGTGAGAAGGAAATAATGAACTGTGAGTAGCTGTCATCTTAACTGTTTCTGACAGTTTGGCTGTGGGCACATCTGTGGTAGTTGCATGGAAAGGCCTTTGTTGTTTTCCCACTAGTGACTTTGCAGAGCGCTGTGGGCTTTGCCGCCTGCCCTGCTCCTACACTTCCCCTCCTTTTTTTTTAGTGGTAAGAGCAGCTGCCACTGATAGAGCTGACATTTCTTTTAATGATTTACTTGGCATTTATACCCGTTAAAACCCAAGAAATTAAGCTGAGATACAACACGCAGTTCTTGTAAATGAAAATATTCTCTATGTCTGTGTAAGATCTGTTGCAAGTATGCATATAATCATTGTCTGCATCACTTGCAGCAGTTTTCAGTGTCTGTAGATGCCCTTCCATCCTAATATCTTGCCATACTTAACTATTTTGAGTGAAATATTGAGTCTTATGGTAATGACATTTTAAATAATCCAGTGTACAATGAAACTAGGCAGGTTTTCATGGCTACATGATATATTACAAAACAAACAAGCAACCTCCCCCTCTTATTTACTATTAAAGGAAACAATTCCTTCTTTTTTCAGATTGACCAAAGGCTGCATGTCTT